TCGGGCGGACTACTTAAATTAGGCAACCAAAAGTTGCACGTGTGGCTGGTTGCACACTCACCTTGTACAAGTTATATATAATGCATTAACTAAAAACACAAATAAAGGCAGTAGCTCCGTAACATCGGCCTTAATAACAAAAAAAAAAAAAAAAATATATATATATATTATATAAAAAATAAGCAAGACTATAAAAAATTTATGTGTAGTTAAAAAATAAAATAGATAGTACATAACAAAAAAACAAGTAACTAAGTATATAAAGCTCAAATTAGAATTAGAATAATGCAAAAACAATAAAGAAATTAATAAAAGCAGCATAACAAAGCAATATTAAAAGCACTAATACAACAATTTTAAAAAATTAGTTGAAACTTTTACAATAAAGCAGTATAAAAAGAAAAAAAAATTAAAAAAGAAAAAAAATACAAGTTTAACAGAGAAACAGAATTATAGAAAAGAAACAAAAAAAATCTAAACAAAGAATCAAAAATAAAATATTAAAAGCCTTATAGAAAAAAAATTTTAAACAAGATTTTTAGAAGAAACAAGACCAAAAATTTTGGAAACAACTCCAGAAGAAGACATGAGTTTTGACAATAATTATAGCAAAATCTACAGAGAAATATAATAGATTAGATTATAAAAATTGTATATTAAGCAAGCAAAAAAATATATAGAACAATATTAAAAATTAAAAAAAGAAGAAAAAGATCTACTGATTAAATAGATCTATTGAACTAGATCTCAAACAGTTATTAATACAAACAAAAAAATCTAATACAAGATATAATAGCAGAAAGAATAACAAGAGTCAAGAACTAGAAAAAAGAGGTATAATTTTTAGATGCAATACTTTTGATATATTCTATTTTTTGTTTTATTTAATTAACTATATAACTATAATACGATTAAATATTTTAAAACCAATCTTGTCAAAATTAATAATCTGTTAAATGGAATAAATAATTAATTTATTAGGTATGTTTTTGCTATATAAATCTAATATCTTAAATTAATAAGGGGAGGAACAGAGATCAACTGATTTTTTAGGGAGTGGGAGTTTGTGATTCGATCAGGTTCTATATTTTGTAGTTAAATTTAATTGGCTAAATCATGTGAGTGGGGTATAGCCTCTTAGTAACTTGAAATCACCTGATTTCTCTCCCTCCCTTAATCTCTTAATACTAATACAAAATCTATTTACTATATACGATTAAATATCTCAAAAATAATATACCTATTAGTATTGAGAAATTATCAGATTTAAAAACATTGTAATTTTTAGGTTTATATAGCAAGAATAGATTTAATAAATCAATTTTTTTTATTATACTTAAACAGATTAATTTTGACAAGATCAGTTTCAAAAGTTTAACAGTATAAAAGACATGGAAATTTGTGAAAATAATTTTGCAAAATTTTCAAATACTGTATTTACACAAATCCAAATATATCCAAATTACTTGTTTTTTTAACAATATAGTAATAATAAATAAATAATGGTGGAATAATTAACTATGCGGCGATGCAAAACTGGAAAAATTTGGAAGATTACTAGTCATGGGGCATGGTCTAAATTATAAATTAATTTCGTAATGCCGGCAAAAATCCAAAATTTTACAAATTTTTCCGATATACAAATCTATTCTTGCAATTTCCAAACGTATATTTTTCGAATCTCTGAACAATATATTAGTTTTGAGTGATTCACAGTATTTTTAACTGCCCTTTAGACAAAATTAATTTCTAGAATTACTAAAGTTTTTTTTGAATAAAATATGATATAATGATATTTTAATAAATGATAAATTGATATAAAATTAGTATTATCTATACAATGTTTTATCTTTATTATTTGATTTTAGTCCTTTGAACTTTTCGAAACTGATTCCGTTAAAATCAATAGCCAGTCAAATCTGATACAAATTTTATCTTGCGCGTTCCTGCTATATAAACCTAATAATTTACAATGTTTTAAATCTGATAACCTCTCAAAACTGATACAAACCCGTTCACAATACATGTCAATTTGGAGAAGTTCATTATTTGATCTATATAGCAGAAACGAATTGATGGATAATTTTTATCATGTTTAAGAGGTTCAGCAGTATCGATATTAATATTTTCAGTTTCAAAAAGATATCCTCGAAGTTAAACCCGAATGCAGAATCAGATTCAGAATCAGTTCAAACTTATTGATAAAAATATTTTTATCAGAATTTATATAAGCAGTATTTACTTTATCTGTTTTTGGTAAAATTTACTGTGACCTACAAGAAAGAATTTTACTGACATAAGAAGTAATTTATTGCCAATTTACTAGATAAATTTAAAATAAATAAAAAAACTAGGCCTAAGGCGTATATAAAAAAGCATACTAACTATACTAATGATAAATATAGGTAATATATAAACTATCATTCTGAAACTATTTGTCTCCCGCAGCCCAGGCATCTCTGCTGATTTTCCAAGCTTTTTTCCAGGCATCTCTGTTGCTTATCCTATCCCACCATTTTTTAACATTAGGTCTTTTGTCCCATAAATCATTATGTTTAGTAGAAGAATAAATATATTGAGTATAAGGACAATGAAGAAGATCGGCTAAGGAAAATTCACCATTTAAATATTCTTTTCCTTCTAAAAGTTTGTCATAAACCTTTAAAACCTTATCAATTTCTTCACATGTATGCTTAATTATTTCATGATTTTCTGGATGTAATTTGAATACTTCCTGAAGTACGATTGTTTTTAGCAGTGGTTCATAGTAACTAACCTCATAAGAAATCAGTTGATCAATTAATCCAGCTTCATTAATATCGTGAGGGATTAAGATTGTGTCATTATGTTTTCCTTGGTATTTAGACACTAGGTAACGACAAATAGCACGAGTTTCGGTAATTTTATAGTCTCCATCATAAAGGACCGGAATTCTTCCACTATAATTGTTATAGATTGTTACTATTCTAATTACATATAAACATCCATAATAGGTGATACTTACAATGGGTGCTTATTCGCGAGAAAATCTTCTTCCTTTAAAGCATGCCAACTAGCTGGATTTTCGATTTGGTAAGGAAGACCTAATTCATTGAGGCACGCAATGACACTGAGGGTATTTGACGAAACTTCAAATCCAATTATCTTAAGAGTCATTTTTTTAGTACTAAATACTGATTCGATTGAATTAATATGAAAAAGACGAGATGGGCGAGTATTTTTTAGTACTAAATACTGATACGATTGAATTAATATGAAAAAGACGAGATGACTGATACGATTTAATTAATATGAAAAAGACGAGGTGGGCGAGTATTTTTTAGTACTAAATACTGATACGATTGAATTAATATGAAAAAGACGAGATGGGCGAGTATTTAAGTACGTATTGTTGTATTCATTTACACACCAATGAGATATTATTTCGTACTCGAGTAACGCAGTCTCACATTACGTAAAAAAGGTATTACGTACTGTACGTACGTACGTGAGAACTAATACGCATTGAAATCAAGATTGTTAACAAATAAGGATGTTTGCAGTAAAACTCTGTTTCAATATTCTTATTGACCTGTCCGAAATTTAACTAGAACTGACAAATACACTAGATACGTATTACTTATACCTTTAAGCTTTTCTATTGTTCTCACTAATCACATCTTTCTAATGAAGAAAAAAAAAAAGTCTATTCTAAACAAGACCTCCACATTGTACTCACATTCAAATAGACCATATGGGCTCAAGAAAATGATTTACATTCGATATAAAACACAATTTTGATAATAATACCTTCCTTTTTGTTTATTTTAGCATAAAAAACTCTTAATGAGTAAAATTTCATGTTATTTTACGATTTTTTCAAAATTCTGCAATTTTTATTGGTTCCGAGCCTAAATTTTGCTGATCATTTTCTTGACATAACGCGGAATAACGATAACGCTAATCATTCGTTTAAGGAACAATGGCTAAGATAATGTAAACTATGCTTTAAACCCATATGTCCTCAGCCCAACCCTTGTCCACTATTATAACTTCGCATATTAATTAACCTAAATTTGTCTAATTCCAGATTTCCGTACGACATATTTGTGCGAGTGAACTTTTTTTAATAAGATTCAGCCAAAAATCTATATATCAACCTAGATCTTAGCGTTAGACCCGATTTATTTCCTTTAGATTAATATTTTAGAATTTGAAAAAATTTATACGTATTAGTATTGTTTATTCGAGCTTTTTTGACCGACAAATTCGATTCCGATAATCATCAATTCTGGGTGTACGCTTTAGCGTTTTTGATTGGTAATATTTGTTAAATATGCGTGTGAAAAATTTGTACATTTCAATTAGTCGTATCTAAGCGTGTGAAAACAGCATGATGGAAGTTTATTTTGGTTGGTCAATACTCGTTTCATGTAACCACGTGATATTTAACCAATAAAAATGGATCGCTATTACGCGAACGTACGTACATATTTAATACCTGATACTAAAATTTTACATAACATAAAGACCTACAACGAGGCTTAAAATTTTTATTATATCGTAGAATTTATTCATGCTATATCATTAATATTCGTTTGTCAAGAGCTATTTTGCAATAATCATTCGCGATTTCTATTTTATCATAAAATCATATACTGGTTACTGTAAAATTATCTTATTGTATTAATAATGCGAATACATTTTTCTGCTTTAAATTATTACAAAATTTTATAATTATTATTATATAGATTATTATCAAATATATATAATAAGTCAAAAAAATTTTTTTAATAAAAAATACTTTATAACTGAAATGCTAATCTAAAAGTTATATGCTTAAAAAAAAGTATTATCGGCCAACATTTCGGCATTGCTAAATTTTTTATATGAAACACTCCGAAATAACTATACTATATGATGTATTTTGATGAAAAGAGTTTGGCGCTATGTAAGACTAATTTCGGCTGCCTAAATGCCGTAATTACCTTTTTATTAAGATGGGCAATTTAGGCACACTTGTATACATATCAGCATATGGGCGGAAATCTTCAATTTTGTGATTAGTTTGTGTTTAGATAAGTTGAATGATGAGATTAAATAGAACTTGAGCCAATAATATATATAATACAGTGTGATTACTAAGATTAAAAGTGATTATTTGTCGGTGATTGTAAAATTGCTTATGAATTGCTTTTGAATTACTTATCAGTTACTTATCAGTTTTTATGAGCAATGTACCAAACAGATCAGCTAAAAATAACCCAGAATGATCCAAAACTGATCCGTTACTTATCAGTTTTTATAAGTAGTATATTACTCAAATGACCTATTACTTTGTTATATCACCTAATTTTATATAGTCACAGCTATCCACTAAAAATTTCCACCCATATGTATCTTAAGATGTCGTGAGCAAAGATCATGATCTAAGCTGACTGACTATCAGGATTATTATGCAGAGTCGTTGAAGGCTTGGTAAAAAAATCGATAAATGTGAATCTAGGGAAATTCGTATAGAAAAGAAGGCATGAAGAAAACCTAAATTTAGAAAGAGAAAAAGAACTTGTTACAGTAATTAGAGACCATAGTATTTTAGAAGGAAAATAGAACCTTTTCTTTAATGTGTAATAAAAATATAACGAAAAAACTCTTACTCCCAGTGTTGGATGACGATGTTATATGACTTACATATAACAGTATCGTATAATAGTGTCATACAATAATTATATGACATGATTTTATATCACATGTAGGGTGTCCAGGATTATGCGATGTGAAATTATGTGCATAATTTGCTACCTATTACATTGCATAATTAAGTGATTGGTGAAAGAGGTGCCTGACAGGTGAAAATTCCGAAAACTTCTGATGCAATAAGTCCAAAATATTCTGAATATCGAATAATAGATAAAATCTAAATAAGAAATTGCATGATTCGCATCTAGCGCATAATTTGACATCAATCGTATGATAAATTATAGTTATCATATGGGTCTGACGTAACAACCCATACGTCACTTCTTTTAAACAAACTATTTACTATTTTTATTTATAGTTACTTTTTCTTTATCCTTGCTCGTGAAACTATCTGACACATTTGAGCTTAGTCTTTTATTCCAAAATATCAAAAAACAACCTTACACCCTATAAAACAAGTTTGTTCTAAAATTGTCAGGAATTGTTCAATATTTCAAACAGGGGTCTATGTTTGTACTTTTTTCATTATGATGTTTACACAGGATGTAAAAATAGAAAATTTTTGATTAAAAATTATTGTATAAAAGATATATAAAAATTGTATAAAAAACATATAAAAACATATATATCCAATAAACATCCTTTAAACTGTTCAGAACAGAGTCAATTTTCTAAACAAAAAATTAGATAATTTCAGAAATTTTTGAACAATCCCAAGAAATTTTTTTTATAGAGACAGCCAATGATCTGGAAGCCCAAAAGTTAAGAAAACACTTGTTTGTTGTAAATACTAGAACATTTCAAACTATAAATAAAGAGTGAAATACATTGTAAATAAATTTGTTGTTTAGAAATAAATAACATTTCTTTAAATTACAAAAAAACTAATAGTTTCACATTCAAATTAATACCAGCAAATGAGAATTTTAAAAACTACCCAACCAAATGTTATTTTTGACCAGTGAATAAGAATTATAAAAAACTATCTAATTTAATATTAGTTTTTATCCGACAAATAAAATTTTAAAAAATCACCAGATATAATATTAGTTTTTGTCTAGTGAATAAGAATTTAAAACTGTTTACCTAATAATAGTAATTTTTATCTAGTAAATGAGAATTTTAAAAAATCACCCAACCTAATTTTAGTTTCATAAATGAATAAGGATTTTAACAACTACTTGACATAATATTAATCTTCTCAGTAAATTAGAATTAAAAAACTATTCGATTTAATTTATATATTTATCTTTATTAGTAAATAAGAATTTTTAAAAACTATCAAACCTAATATTAGTTTTAATAGCAGATGAGAATTTTAAAAACTGCTAAATTTAATATACATATTAGAATAAATATATAAGTTACACTCTACAATGTGCTTATATATTGTATATATATATTATAAATTGTTATCTTAAAAATAAAAAAAACTTGAATGTTTAGTTAGAATTAGAATTGGATAGGGTTAGAGTATAAAAGAGATTTTATATTAAAAATCTGCAAAAAATTTTTTTGTTATATGTAATTTTGAGTTATAAGCAACTTTTGACAAAATAAACAGTTGTTTTGAAATTTTTTAATTATACTATATTATATATAATCTTAAAATTTGATTAGTAAGTTATTAAAATATTATATATAAATATATTATAGAGTTGTAATATCTAATTAAGTTTAATATATTATTAGTCTTTGCTTAGAAATTGAGAATGTAATAAACTATAACTTAATATATATATTAATATTTGCCAAAAAATAAGAATTTAAAAATAATAATTTATAGTTATAAAGGTTTTAATAAAAATAAATTTTGGTTTAGCTTTTTATAAAAATAATTTATTTATACAGATATATATAAAAATTAAATAATTTTATATACAGATTTACTAAAATATAACATAGATATTAAACAACATAGTTGCTATATCTCAAAAATATACTAGCTAAAATATTTTTGAAGTATTAAGTAAAAATATTCAAAATCTAAAAATCTTATACTAACTAAAATTTGGACTTTTATATCTAATCTTGATCTTACTCTAAAGTTGCACTCTAATCTTAAATTTTAGCTAATAATATATTAATACCAACAATACCTATTATATATTTTATAATTACTATTTATATATGTTTATATAAATAAGCTTTTAAAAAATATATAGATTGTTGTATAAAATCTGTATAATAATTTAAACTATTATATTACATAATTTTGAATATCTTAATTATAGAGTATATTATTTAAATAAGTAATTATTTTTGAACCTGTATTAATTTTATATATAATATTATAAAATTTTAAATTAAATTCAAAAATAATTACCTATATCATATAATATACTATATAGTATAATATTGTTATTATCCAATATATTATATATAGCAATGCATAAAATATCTGCAAACATGTAATTTTAAACCAATTATGACACAGGATCAGGTATAATATGAAAACAAAACAAACTTCTAGCTTT